CAGCAGCAGCAGCAGCAGCAGCTAAAACAACAACAACAACAACAACGCACCAACAGGCACCAAACGAGGCACGCAATTTGATCATTAAACATGAAGCTCTTTAGCACACGAAAAAAAAATGAAACCCCAAACACTGCCACAGGAGAAGCTATCGAGAGTGGAGGAGCCCAGAGCAGTCCATGTGAGTGGGGTATCCAATACCGGGAGACTGTCAGAGTCGTTCCGTTCTCTGTCGGAGGCTCAGTGTGGCCTGCAGCGCATAATTTTTATGCAGTCGCCGTTGTTTCTCTTATGAATATGGTAAAAATATGCATATATAACAACCTACATACATACACACATATATGTATATAAATTGTATAATTTGTTTATACTAAATGTGCGCCAGAGTCCTGAGGAACAAGTTTCTATGCTAGGGTAAGTAAACCTTGCTCAAATTCCACTCAGCTGCTCAAGATTCAATTTAGATCCGCCCATGACTCATTGGAGACTGCGTGTTTCTTGGTCTCCCAAGTCACAGTTCGTCTTTCTCTCCGTCAGATTCTATGAATCACTCGAGTTGAAAGTAACGAGAATCAAAACTGGCAAACGTCAAATAATTCTCAGCCAACTTTCGGTCATATAACTGTAGATATTTTTACTAGTCTAACTTATCTAGTTAACTTATCTTTGCTCTTAAGTAGTTTAACATTAACTTGGAAATTCAATTAAAATTTAATCATCTATTCCTACGTATATTTTGATACAAGCAGAAAAAATGTCGTAAATAAATATAAATAAATTAAGTTGTAAATCTAACTTTAGGTTAACCTATATACAATAATATGAATACAATATCTACCTACTCATAGGTAAAGATTCAAGAAATGTCTTTAGAATCCCTAGCACAATAAATGTTTATTTCTAAAATGAATTCATTGCCTTTTAAATATTATTATCTTTCAAAATTTTACTCTATAATTTTTGTAATCTTTCCTGGAATTTTGTGGTTTACTCTGAGCTATTTGTAAAATTTTATAAATTTTTATACAGTCTGCTTCTTAATTAAAAAATTTATACATGAGCTTAGCTAACAATTAATAATTTATGTTTTCAACTTTTTGTTAAATATTTTAAACATATTTTTTATAAGTTTTATTTAAGCTATATTTTAAAATAGTCTAAAATTTTGTAAGACATTTTTAAAGATATTCTTCATGTATTATATAAATACTTTGAAGTGTCTTATAATAATTAAAAAAAAAAAATTGTATGTATATAATGTTTATATATTTATTTTTTAAACTGTTTGCCATATCATGTTTATTGGATTTCTTTCAATTTATGGAGCTCGAACTGCCTGTGAACTGTTAAACTGCCAATAGGCAAGACTCATGAGAAATGGGAAAATTGTGCACTATAAAACCCACAAAACCGAAAAGACACTAAAAAAAAAAAATGGAAACTGAAAATAATTTGAGGCCAAATCGAAAATGCAGCCGCAGAGCCAAACGCAAATGGCGAACTGCAACTGTGGCAAACGGAGGCGAATGTCGAACGCGAATGCCATTTGCTATCGTTGCACTTTTATTTGAGTTTTATTATTTTTATTTGCATTTGCATTTTTATTTTGATTTTCATTTGTATTTTGATTTTTACTTGACTTTTTCATTCTGTGGCCAGTGCGAGAGCAGCGCGCACACTAGACGAATTATATTTTATGCCACAAATTACGCTGCGGTTAACCTTTAAATTAAAATAACACCAAAACAATTTTTGTGCTGAATGTTGAATGTTGCAGCTATGCAGAGGGGACTCTATAGTTGTGTGAGTGTGAATGTCTGTGTCTGTGTGTGTGTGTGTGTGTGTGGCAGCTGCACAACATTTGTAATCTTTTTGTAATCTTTTTATTCTCTTTGGCTTTTCATTAACTGCGATAGGCATCAGATAATCAAATTATATTGTATATGTATGTATCAAAAATGTTGGCTCTGTTTTTCTTGTTAAGTGTAAATTATAAAAATATAAAAGAATTCGTAACGCAAAGAAATGCAATGAAATCGTAATTGTAAATAATAAAACCACAGCGTGTTGCCCTCAATGAATGCCGGACAGGCCGCCGTACATCGCACACCGTACACTGCCCGGCCGTACTCAGCCTGCCTATGCTGTGCAATAAAATTATATGCATCACATCAAACACACACACACACACAGACCAATGGCATTTTGGTTGCAATTGGAATCAGAGACTCACACACTGAGAGAAAGAGAGAGAGAGAAAGAGCGAGAGAATTTGGCGTATTAAACCACAAGTGTAAATTTATGTGAACAACGGCTCACATCTTCTGTCATTCCAGCCAACAGCGAACCGCAACGCATTGAACCCTGAATCCCGTACCCGAACCCCGAACCGAACTGCATGCAGTGCAGTTAAAATATTTAAATCAACGCGAAAGTTTAAACTTTTACTATATGGCATATCGTTAGCTGAGCAAAGTGCCTTAACCATGTGCGACAGTGTCAAGCACACACACACACGCATAACTTACTAATTATCAACTATATATACACACACACACACACTTGCTTATTGAGTTTGATTTGCTCTCGTTTTGTTATACATTTTCTAACGATTTAACGATCCATAGAAATATCAAGTTCGTTTCACACACATATGTTAATCAGTTCATAAAGTTGGTAAATAACAAATAGCAAAAATACAACAAATAAATAATAAACAAAACCGAAAATAAGAAAAGAGCGTTAAGTATGTTGGTCAGTCAGCTGATAAATAATTTATTGATGTCTGGCCAGAGCTCCACGGCAAATTATGATAATACAAATAACATAAAACAAAATAAATAGATCGAAATTTCTTTGGCAATATACAAAATTTAACTCTATTATTTAAGTTATGTGCAAATAAATCAACGTTAATTGAAATTTGTAAATGTATCTTTAACAGATATCTTTAAGCAGATAAAAATCTTATGATTTTTCAGAGCTGCGATTCTCAAATAAACTTAAACAAATATTACAAATAATAAAAAAAATATTTGTTTTTATTATGTATTCTTAATATATCTGTTATATGTTATGTTCAAATATCTATTATATATTCTTTCCCTTACTATTACATATTCCTAATATTTCTGTAATATATTCTTTATATATACAATGTATTTTATGGATTGCTTATTATATATCTTATAATCAAATCAGATTTATTTACAATTTCTTCCCTCGAATTTCATATTTTAATTGTATATTTTCGATTCTATCTTAGATCTCGGTTATCTAGTCCTGCTATTTCTACTATATATTTCTTCTATTATATATTTGTTCCATTTCCATTAACTACGTATCTCGTAGTTTTATCATATTTAAGTATATTCTATATAAATTTGACTAGGTATCTAGTAGATACCATCTATCTAACAATTATAATTATATATTATTTCTACTTTTATCATATATTGCATTTTATTTTTCACATCTTATTCTAGTTAATCATTATAATCTATCTCATATTTGTATTTTATTTATTTATTATTATTCTTCATTCTGTTGCGAGTTTCCAAAACTCTCGAATTCAACAAGCAAATAAAAACAAATGAAACAATTTGCAGACTTGATTTGATAATAACTCTCTGAAAACATGTATGCATATACCTAAATACTAACGTGTACACTCAGATTATGAAGTTGATAAAATTCCCGCAATTATAATTTTTTATAGCTTGGTATATCTATAAAAATCTTGTCACGCCACAATCAAATTCTTAATAAAAATATATGCGCAGAGGTACAGTAAAGCCGATTCCAAAACCCGACGGCAAGGAACAAAAATAATCAAAACAAAATAAACGAAAATTTACACAATTTTGCAACACTATAATTGGGCAAATCTTCACTTGTCTCGAGAACTCGAGAATATTCACAAATAATTATAGCGATTACTGAATTGTTAAATAATTGACATTAATTTTTCAGAAATTATAGCACACGAAATTCAGTTTTCTTTTTTGTTTTTTTTACATATTACGATACACCCGAGTGGAAAATCTTTGCAGAGTGTGAAAATGTTTTCCCAGCTCAAAAAGCCGTCGCCTCAAAAATGCCGTCGCCAATTCAAAGATATGCATATACCAATTTTTGTCACTAACACTCTGACGCTGAGACTTTGAATTTCGATTTACGGTTAATTGTAGTTCTAGTACTTACCCTAGGCTGAGCCATTAATGCTCTGGGAGCGACGTCTAACCCGATTTGTGCCACTTTTAGTGGTGTACAGACGACAGTTGGCGGCTCAACACAAAACGAGGGGCCCGCGTCCCTTGCGTCCTCGTCCTCGTCCTCGTCGTCGTGCCGATCTCTCGATGGAGCGAAGATCTATCTCTCTCTGTAGATCTCTGAATGTGTTGGGGCCTCCTGCTACGCTCGGGTTGTGTTTTCTTTTTCTGTTTCTATATTTTTTTATTTTTTATTTTATGCTTGACACTCACAAAAATATTATTAGAATTTGTGTATTTTTAATAATTTGAATTGCTTTCTCTCCTCTAACTCCTTCAGCTTCCTCTTTTCTTTTATTTTCTTTTTTCCACGTGGTTCTTAGCTGCTTTGCACTTTATGCTTCTACTACTCGTTTCTGCTTCTTCTTTTTATTTTAATTTTAATTTTTTTTTTTTAACACAGGCACATTTGTTAAAATCTTTGCTTTAGATTTTTTACATTCTTTGCTTAGATTTATGTATTTAATTTCTTGTTGTTGTTGTTGTTGTTTCTGGTATACTTTGTTGTTGTTGTAGTTACGCGCGCGTTTTTATTATTAGCGGGAGATCTTTTTTGTTTTGTATACATATATTTATGTATATATACATATGTATATATATATATATATTTACATATAATTTGTTGTAGTTATATAAATTTTTTGTTTTTGTTTTGCGGTTTATAAAAATCGTATACAATTTGTTTTCATATTGGGTTTGCCGTTGCTGTAGTAGTTCTTCTTCTTCTTTCTAGTTGCTGTTGTTGTAGTTGTTGTAGTCGCTGCTTGTGTGGGCCAGGCAACATAGTTTGCAGTTGCTGTTGCCTTTTAGCTCTGCTCGTGGGTTATTGTTGTTGTCATAAATCCATTGCTCGGGCCTTTTGCAGCTGCCTCTTCTTCTTCTGCTTGGTCTTCTATTTTTCGTTTACTTCGAAATCTTCCTCTCAGATTGTTTGGCTTGAAGATGCTTGTTGTTGTTGTTCCGTTTTTATATTTTGTTGTTTTTGTATTCGTTTTGTTTTGTTGTTTTGTTTTGTATGTCGTATACTTCTTGCTTCGTATAATATGCGCACTATTTATCACAGCTGCTTCTACATACTATAATATACTATGAAAAACCAAAAGCTTGTCAATCCAGCAGCCAATCGAAGAACATCAACTAACTGTTAACAGTTTGCAGTTTACAGTTTACAGTTTATAGTGGCATTTAGTGCACTTTTTGTTTTTGGAATCTGCTCCTAACGAAACGCGTGCAATGGGAAAATGTTGCAAAATGTGGTTTTAGCGACGGTAACGCGACGGCGGCGACTGAGACGGCGAAGGCAGCGGCAACACGACGAAAGTCCGTTAACGTTGCTGCGTACCGCGTAACGTAACGTAACGACCGATCGTAACGTCGCGCAACGAGACGCGCGCGCTTTTTGCTTATTTGAGATTTGATTTTTGTTTCTTTGTTTTTCCTTGATATTTTTGGCTAACCGTGGAGATCGCGACGAGAAAATTTTTTTGGCGGCGTCCAAAATATGTTCAGTAATGATTATTATTATTCTTGATTTAGTTGTTGTTGGTTGCTGTTGTTGTGCGGCAATAACAATAATAATGCTATGTAATAGCAATAATAATAGTAATAATAATAATTTTTCTCAACGGCTGCGACGTTGGCGACGGCTTCGGCGTTTTCGGCTTCGCTTCTCGCTTCGCACACAACACAGACAGCACAAGCACAAGCACGTCGTACGCGGTTCGAAGGCAAATACACACTGTCAATCATGCTCATGCACGCTTGCACGCCACTGTCTGCCCGATCGTACACTCACACATACGCACACACACAGTCGCAAAGACGGCGGCGACGCAACAATTGTGCCATTAAAAAAGGTTGTACAACGCGGAGACTCATAAATTTACCAGCAGTGCGAGTGCGATGGCTATACAAACACATTCGACTCCGGCGAATTGTGGTGCGTGCGTGTGTGTGTGTGTGTATTTATGTGTGCGCTTGCTGGCTGCTTTGTTGCTGTAATTGCGGCGAATTGCCCGGTGAGAGCGCAGGCGCGCTCTTGTGAGCGCACTACAAAATGGGGCCCAAAGGCAGAGCGCAAAGGATGATGACTGATTTGTTAGTACGCCTTTTCTGTCATACACACACTTGTCACAATCTGGCTATGCCATGCCTCGGCTGCGCTACTCTACTGTGCTCAGTTTTGCTATATGTATGTATGCATGTGCATGTGTATGTGTGTTTTTTTGCTTTTGTTTTTGTTTTGCCATTTGTTTTTCGACTCTTTTTGCGCAACGACGACGTAGTCGTCGTCGTCGTCGTTGGCGCTCGCTCATCGTTCGTTCATTCGTTTGAAATTTATTTGGCTTTGGCCAAAAGGAGACGGCTTATAGGTTTTGGCCGCTGCTAGCGTCGCATCGCCTCTCTCTGCTGCTGCCAGTACACTCGTCGTCGTCGCCGTCGCCGTTGCCGACGCTGCTGTTGCTGTTGCTGTTGCCGTCGCTGTGCGTGCGTTGAAAATCAGCAAAAACCAATCCCATTTGTTATTTTCGCTTGAGTGAGTGGCAGTTTGCATCAGTTTGCCATTCAGTCTTCTTTGGCCGCCCCACCTGTGCGCGCAGGCATTGGGCATTGGGTGGTTTCTGGGGTTGGGGTTGAGCGTATTCTCTCTCTCTCTGCTGCTCTGCGTTACGTGCTTCGTGTTTGTGTCAGTGAGTGCTTTCAGGTGTTTTCTAGTCTTTGCCGCCACTCCAGACGACGCTGTCGCTTGTTGTTGGGCATTGCCTTCGCCTTTGCCTTCGCCTTCGCTAGCTTGCTTGCTTGCGCTTGTCCGTCACTTCAAAACGCGCTCAACTTTCGCTCAATTTTTTTGCGCTCTTTGCACACACACTCATGCTCACGCACACACAGGCATACGAAAAGAGAAGCACTTACACATACAACGACAGTCAAATAGGTAACGCCTTCAAAAGCTGCAGCGACGTCGCCGTCGCTGTCGTCATTGTCGACGACGTCGCCGTCGCCGTCGCCGTTGCCGTTGCCGTCGCCAGGCGTCATGGCGATCCAGCCACTTAGCCAATGATCCTGCCAGGAACAACAGCTACAAAATCAACACAAACACCAACAGCTGTTCGCACCGTGAACTTTGTGTGCAATAATAAATCGCCCACCGATAAATTCAACGGCCCAAAATGCATATCCTGCTGCTGCTTGTTATTGTTGTTGCTGCTGCTACTACTACTGCTGCTGCTGGCGACGACGTCGTCGCCGTCGTCGTGTCGTCGTCCTCGTGGCAGTTTAAAAAGCAGTTAACACATATTTCGAGGCAATTTTTCAACAACGCATTTTTGGCCTGTGCGTCCTTTTAGTTTTTTTGCCTTTTGTTGCTCCCGTTTTCCAATTGTTTTTGTTTTTTTTCGGTTAACCGGCTCGCGGCGCCCGGTCGCCATTTTTGTTTTTTGGGCAGCCAACGGCAAATACGAGCGGCTGCTGCTGGCGCTGCTGCTGCTACGTCGACGCCGGCGCTCGTTTTAATGTTGCCGCCGTTTTAGCAAAAAATGAAAAATTGCTTTGTTTTTTTGTTTTGGCTGGCTAGCTGGCTGGCTGGCAAGCTGGCTGGCGTTGGCAAGGATATTGTTGTTGCCACCGTTGCCGGGCTGTGGCCCGATGACAAAGATAATAATGACGACGATGATGCTGCACTTAATCTGGTTTCCATTTCAAAACAGCTGATCATATTTTGTACACACTTCACCCCCTCCCTCCCCACGCAAATGCTGAGCTGCATTGGCAAGAGCGAGAGAGGCAGAGAGCGAGCGACACTTGTCCTCGCTTCCTCTTGTCCTCTTTCGCTTCGCAGCTTTCGTCTAACTGTCGCCGTCTTGACAAATTTATGAGACGTTGATTGATTTGCGGTTTGAGATTTTTGTTGTTGCCTTTTCAATTTTCAATGCAAAGTTGTTGCTGCAGCCCAAGGTGTTTTAAATTTAAGACGCGCTAATGCAAAATTTGTGTGCCAACAAAAAAAAGCTGAACTGAACAGAACAGACAAAAGTGAACAGACTTTGCATTCATTTGAAAATTCAATTAAAAGTAATAAATTGCTATTTTATTTGCAGGTGAATGTGAGTGAATATGGTTGTGTGTTTGTATGTGGGTGAGTGTGTGGATGGGTGGGTGTTATTGCCAAAAACGGATTCGTTGAAAGAAATGAACAAAATGGCATTGCAGTGATTTAATACACAAGTTCAAGGAGATGAACGCTAAGGATAGGAGATCTAGAATTGAGGAAAACTTGTAAAATATATTTAATAAAATAAATAAACTCAGAGTTGCTTAAGATTAGAAATAAAGTTTGATGATACAAGTTTAAGAGAAATCATATATTGCTATTATTTCTATATAAATTAAATATAAACAAATGTAATAATTCGTATATAAGTTTCCTTTGCAGAAGTTTGAATAAATTTTGGATTTTGGATCAATATAAATTTATTTTAATTTAATTGTAAAATATATTATATTTATTTAAGCAAATGTATCAGAACACGTATTGTATATTTAGTGAATATTTTCATGATAACATACAAGAAATATTTTGTTAAATTTTATTATTAAATTTTTCCTTCATTAAATAAATATATAGCTATCAAATAAAAAGTTTCAAAGGCAATTAAAATAATTCCTGAGCATTTTAACGGTTCAACAACAAATCGAAATAATATTCATATATATTGAAAATATGAATCAAATTATATTTAATATGTATTCTTGTATGCAAAGAACATCTTATTTATGATAATCCAATTGCAATTTTATAGTTCCTCAATTAATTAATAAGAGCAAGGGGTGGAAGAAATGTATTAACGGTGCTTGTTAGCAAAAATTTGTCTAGTGCATTCTTTAAGGCCAGGTTATGATAAAAAAAAAAGAGGAAGAAAAATGCAAAGGGAATTTAATTTAATTTAATATTACAACTTGGCAAAAATTGAGGAGACCATGAAATTTAAATCAGCAGAGCTCGGCAGGCTGGCAGGCAGAGGTGGCGCGAGCGAGCGAGATTGAGTGAGTGAGTGAGAGAGATGGGCGCATCGTGGTCTCCACCCACTGAGCAAAAACAGAAAAAAGAAATAGGAGAAAACGTGCAAGAAACACAAGAAAAAAAAAAGAGAAACGGCAGCTTGATAATAAGACGAAAAGCTCAAGGCAGCAAAATTGCATTTGGAAACTTCCAATCCCAGACGAGCGCCGAGCACTTGGAGCGAACGTTGATGTTGAGAGGGGCAAGGCAGGCGAAGAAAACTGTGTGCGAGCGAAAAATGTGGCGATGAGAAAGCTCACGCACACTTGCACACACACTCAGTCACTCACACACTTGCGCTCACACAGAGGCAGAGACTGAGGCGCAGCCAATATGATTTAAAGCGGCGGCAGCGGGCCCCAAATGAGCGCCAACCGTTGCTCGCTCAGACACACACATACACACACAAGCGCACAACAGCTGGCGCTGTTGTTGTTGGCGCTGCGCTGCTGTGCATGACAATTCATCTCTTTCTTATAAACGCAATTTATCAAATGAAAACGACGAGCGAGCGACAGCAAAGATGAAGACGACGACACGATATCAACTTGATGTGAATGTGGTTGTATGTGTGTGTGTATGACTGAAGCTGCGTATGTGAGACAAGCGAAGCTCACTCAAACTCAAGTTGAACTGAGTGCTGAATGCTGAGTGCCGAGTGCAATACGAAAATTGCTCGCGAGTCAAAGCCAAAAACAAAATTATAAAATGGCATATGAAGAAAAATAGGAGTTGCCGTCGGCGCTTGAGGAAACAACAACAGCAGCAGCAACAGCAACAGTGACGATGATTTTCTTTTTGGCAGCCCCCAACTCGGTGTTACTGAAAAACCGCCATAATCTTGACAGACAAGTGTACACTCTCTCGTACACACACGCATACACACGGTCACACAGCGGTACTCTCGCGACGCGCCGCTCTTCGCCGCATTGTTTTCGCTCGTATTTCACGCTCAAACAGCCATTTCGCTGCACTTTTAATGGTTTGTTTTTGTTTTCGTTGCGCGCACGACAAAGAGAGAGCAGCAAACGAGCTCAAGCACGACGACGACCAAACCGAATTCGCCGCATTGCGCGAGCGGGCCAGCATGATAAATGTGCGCACTCACTTTTTATGGCAAACCGAAACAGCTGTTCTTGAGTGCCGCACAGTTGTAGAGTCACTGGACTCGCGACACAGACCAATTTATTTGGAGTTTTGTTTGCGTTTTGTTTTTGAGTTTTCTCACTATTATTGCACATTTTATGATCGCATACCTTTCGTTTGAGCTGCTACCTGCTTACATAAATGCATATTTACCTGTTCGCTGTCATACTTTACCTTCCATTTGGGCTCTGCCTGCGACTAACGAACGAAATTTTGTGACTTTCAACGCTTGCCATAAAACGGGCTTAGGACCAGCACCTAAAGTCCCGTTGTTGGGCCCACACATACACACACGCAAACGAAAATAGCTCGATATGCACAAATAAATATGCCGGTCACGCCCCCGCCCACCGCGTGAGCCGCCCAACAACAACAACAGCAGCAACAAATTGTCGTCTCGTCTGCCTCTGACAGGACATTCAACTGTTGCTGAGGTTGGGCGGGCACTGTATGGGCCAAAGTTTGCGAGGCACTTTGCAATTTATCAAACAATTCGGCCAGGACTTAAAGAGATGCCAAAAGGACACTTACCTGACATTTCTTGGTGCTAACAACTAAAGAGCGACCATTCATCATACGTTACCTGCGAAAGGTGAAAAGAAAATTGTGGAAATTCATTTAGTTTTCAGTTATTAACAGCAAAAGTCAGCATGCAAATGAGCAAGAGAGAGAGGGAGAGAGAGAGAGAGCGTGTGGGAGAGTGGGTGTGAAAGGGAAACAGGATGCAGGATTAAGATGCATCAGGCATGCAGCCTGGCCACATGTGTCGTACACGCCCCACTCTTGCCCTCTTCTCTCTCTCTCTCTCTCTCTCTCTCCCTCTCTCGCTCTCTCTTTGGCAGTGAAGCGATCAGCAGACACGAGAAATGTTTTTCGTTTTTGATTGATTGCCCTGAAAAACCACTTGAAACTGTCACAGAAGCGAGAGATGCTGGGTGAGGAGAGGGAGAGGAGTGAGGGGAGCGGGACATGGGACATTCGAAGTGAAAATCACTTCTGCACACACACACACACACGTACAGAGGCAGTACCATATTGTTTTTCCAATGAAAAACTACTTATGGCATTAGAGCTGCGACTGCTGCTGCCTGTCTATAAGAAAATACAACTTAATAAAGATGAAAAGTGCATCGAATGCTTGTGGAAAGGAGGAGTGAGGCGGCGGCAGCAGCAGCAGTAGGCGAGCGGGGCGAGGAGGAAGCGGCAACGCTCAAGTTTTGGCTGCCACAGCAATTGATGCCACTTCAAGAAGAAAACGAGGAGGAAAGCACAAGTGGAGAAATTTTCCAAAAAATAAATAAAAAACAAAAACCGAGTCATACTTCAATTTCAATTGTAGTATATAAAATATAATCTACTTATATTAGTTATAGAGTTATACTTAGGGGTATTATAATACAAATAAAAATTTATTTATTTATTTAGATATTCGAGACAATTTATTATTAAAACTAACTTATAATATTATACATTAATTATTAATTAATTAATTAATTAAGCACTGGCAAACGGGGGTCTTCGGATGTACATATATGTATGTATATATAGTATTAATTTTTATAAAGTTTTGGCATAAACTTTTATTTTTTCCTTAATATAACTAACGATTTAGTTGTTATATTGTTTAATTTAAATATATATCTTATTAACTTTTTTAGCGCATCTTATTTATAACAGTGCAAGGACTTCATATGCTTCAGCCAATTTATAGCAATACCTATATACATATATAGTGGAATCCCTAAAATACGAAATGGCTTTCTAGTGCAAATTTTCAATTTTTATTCTCATTTCATTTAATTTTCATTAGTCATTAAAGTCTTTCATATTTTATATGTGAGATATTTGACTTGATATGATCAATAAAAATAATTTATACGTCTCACTTTGGCGATATTACGAATTTGAAAAGCAAAACTTAACATAAACATAAAATTAAGTGAACAAAATATAAATTAAATTTTGAGCCAAAAAGTGAATCACATTTCATTATTCGAGTTCATTTATTTGACTATTATTTATTGTTATATTATATTATGTTCTATATTATATTATATTCTAATTATGATGTTTTTCAAAATAATCATATGATAAAAAATGCAGAATTATATTTATCGATAGTTGCTCTCATTTGAGTATTTTGCAGTTTTTACGAGTTTTAGCATCAGGATATGAATATAAGATATGTATATGAATATGAATGTTGTATTTAAATTATATAAATTCTAATTTTGCTTTGGTAGTGAAAGCATTTTATTTAGAATTTTAAGAGCTTTAAATATTGCAGTAATTATCGGACAATATAGTTTATAGTCGATATAAATAATTATACGCTCAGTTAGTTGAGCCAAAGAACCTCAGGATCTCGAGCTCTTGAATTGAATTGAAGGAATGCAGACCAATCCGGATATCATGTAACCTATTTATTCATATTTATTTGTATCGGAATTGAATTAAATTATTTTTATATCTAATATATATTTTAGTGGTACATATAAAATGCAGTGATAGATGTCATGTATGTAAATTTCAGTACCCAGAACGTATATGAAAATTTTCAAATTATCATATTGTAGCATATTTTCCGACGGAAAGTCGGAAGGGATGGATAAATGGACGAACCGACGGGCAAATGGACGTGGGAACTTTGAGATCTCTATACCTAAGTTGATATACTCCCTTTCCGTTATGAAGGAGCATGTAAAAATAAGTTAAAAACTTTTCATATTTGCATCAACAAAGTTTTTCCTATTGAAATTGCGCAAAGAATGCATAAGAAGAGAAATATATGTATGTATGTATATAGAAATATATTTGGAGCATTCATTGTTTATAGATTGGAAAAGCTGGCGCTGCTGCCATTTGGAGCTTTTGCAACTCTGTTGCCAAAAGAAGAAGAAGTCAAAGAAGAAGAAGCAGAAGCAGAAACGGAGGAAATGGTAGTGTAGGGGAGAGGGAAAGCTTGAGGGAAAACTATTGGCAAACAGACAGTGAAAGCGAGTGAGTGAGAATGAGCCGGGAGAGGGAGAGGGGAGAGAGTGTGAGAGTGGGTTGGAATTATAATCTACGAAAAAGAAATTTATGTGCATTTCCGTTTTTGTTGCTTGTTGTTTTTTATTTTTATTTTCTTCCTTCCGTTTAAGTAAATAACAAATATTATTATCGCTTGGCCGCAGCAACGGCCAAAGGACGTGGCAAGGACCCGGCCGAGTGCCCATTGAAGATAGTTCGTCAGCTCGCAGCGACAACAAAGTAAATAAAATGTGCACAACTAGCAACAGCAACAGCAACAACAACAAACAGGAACAACAACAACAACAACAACAATCACACAAAAAGCCAAGCAAACAAAAATAAAAAAAGAAACGAAAAAGCAACAAAAATAACAAAATTAAATAATGCCACAAACGATTTCTTATGAAATGTTCAAAAATATAACAACAACAACAACAACACACACACACACAGACACATACTCCATCCGGACATGTGTGTGTGTGGAGTGGGGCGATTGGGGGCGTAGGCGGGGCAGCTGTCTGTGTATTGGCAGCCAGAACGGAAGCCGTTGCCGTCGAGCTCTACAAACAACAACAACAACAACTCAATGAAATTATTAATGTTCGTAAAAGTGCAGCAGTTCAGAGGCGAGAGAAAGAGAGAGAGAGGGGGGGAGAGAGAGAGACGACTTTGCTGTGCAAATGGTCAGCAGACGACGACGCCTTGGCTCTTAGTTGGCTACCAGCTACACACACACACACACACACACACACACACACACACACACACACACACACACAGACACAGACACACACACACACACACACACTCTGTACACACTCGAGCAAATACAAATAAATAAATAAACAACAAACTCTAATTAAACGTTGTTTCGACTGTGTCGGCATTTCGATAAGGAACGTGGCCTTTGGCCAGAATCCTGTGGCTGTGCCGCTGCCCGTTACCCGCTGCCCCCCCAACTCCTGCCATAGCCTACAGCTGCTGCGGCTTTATCGTTCAGCTCGCAGCGTCGTTCGCGCTGCCTTCTGGCTGCCGCTTTGCTTGTTAAAAACTTGCCAAAAAAAAAAAAAAAAAAAAAAAAAAATAATTTCAATCTGTTTGTCCAGAAGCAAAACAATGAAGGCAACAACAACAAAAAGAATAAGAAGCATGAGTAGCTGATAATCAAAGTGCAACAATTTCAATTTGTGCTCAAGGTCGTGCAGAATATGAACAAAAGCAGATACCGAAAGAAAAAACGAGAAATCAGCTAGAAACTACAGTTAACAGATTGAAAGGAATCGGAAATTATGCGTCAAGAACTGCTAAAATGTAGAGAATTCCCAAAGAGAATATATTAAAGCTCAATCAAAAATCCATAAAAGCATTTGAAATATACGAATGGTATTCTGATATACATATGTATATATCTCATTGATATAATTAAACTCTAGATATAATTCTCAGTTAGTTGATATAATATAATACTTATTGCTCAATCAGAAATCCATAAAATATCTAAATGGTATTATGATATATGTATCTTATGGATATGACTAAACTCTAGATATTATTCGCAGTTATTTGATGTGATACAACTAAGATTGTTTGCGAAAAGGGCAATGTCGAAATACTTTAACTGATTGAATTAGGGTTTGTAGCACATTTATATAGAGTCAGGAATGCAAATCGTAATTCGATCACAATTTGAAGCTCTTTCCAATAATTCGAAGTTGCTTTTTAGCATAAATAGGAAATAGTTAATTAAAAGTAAAATTTTAAATCAACTCTGAGTATGAAATGTTTCATAATAGCTAAAGGGTTAAAAGCAATAATAATATATAATAATGTTAGCATAATAATAATAATGATAAATAATATTGCCATATTAGTATATATCCTTATTGTTCTGTAATGCCTTTTTCAGTGCTGATATAAGAAATTATAATCGAAAGTTATTCCTGATTCCCGTAATAAATATAAATGAATATAAACATAAATAAAAACTATTACAGTTTAAAAAGACAATTTATAAAAAAAAAAAAAAAAAAAAAAAATCACAACTAATCAAAAAATCCATAAAATTCTGTATGCCAAAGAAATTTTGGATGTATTCTCAGATATTTAATATAATTTATAAGGATTGTTTAGTAAATATATCAAAATAATACTTATAAATGGTTTAAAATGTCTGAGAATACATCCAGAATTTCTGTTGGATAAATGATTTTGTGGACTACTTTGATATATTTATATATTAAAAATTTTAATTTGATTCATTTCTAATAATCTCTAATCTCTGATATTTTCAGTTTCGCCTCTTTTAAATGTATTCAAAACTCTCATACTAAAATAATTCAGTATATTTACGGTCTGTAAATATTTCTCAAAATGTAAATTTTGTTCGGTTTTGTTTAAATTATTTATTTGTATTTAATAGGTTTGCCAACAGTCAATATATTTTTATAAAAATTTGTCTTCTTCTTTGGCCCGCTCGAGATTTCGCCATGTGCTGACGGTCGAATTTT